TACAATTTTGCTATGTCTTGTCCCCAGAAGACAGGCCAGATAACCCACATCCACTGCGTGTTTTTGCACAGAAATGTAGCGACGAAAGCGTTGGCGCCGTTTTGGGTAAGAGGAATCAACATCAATTGTAAACATTTCACAGGGCGTTGATTACAATTACACTGAGAACGATGTTCATTACATCATCATTCACCTTCACCTCTAAACCGCGTACATGTTTCACAGTTGTTATATGCCACACTGTCGCTCATTCATGATGTAACAAGACATGGGCGGATAACCACACACAGAGTGCAGCGGCTGGGGTAACTATGAACTTTTCCTGGGGAGATGTGAATGGGAATCTATGAACTGAAGGCAAAAACTTGGATGCGTGCGCCAATGAGTATGCAGTCTTGTATCAGCACTCGACACTGCGCCGTCAAGCGCCCACCAACCAGTGAGATAGGATTACTTAGATTATTTAATATGGTCTGCATTACGATGGTGGAAGTCCCGGGATCAGGTTTGTCCTCTGGGAGCTCAACAACCTTCAGCAAAATCCTCGGGAGCATTTCGACAACACAGGCCTCAGGCACAACGACTGAGACGTCCATGGTCATACCAATGAAAAATATGAAGGAAATAGGTAGGAGAGGGGACTACTTTAGAACAACTTATGATGCTGTGCATCAGTGAATAATCACGGGAATCTCAAATTATGCAATCAACGCATTGAAAATCAAGGTTATGCCAAAGATCACTATATATTGCTTTGTGCTTTTTTCGATAAGGCTCTTACTTTGCTGAGGGCACTAATTATGCACACATAACGATGAACGAGACCCTGCACACAACCAACTTACCGCAATATTCGATTGCCTGCTTCAACGACCGAACGAACAATATGAAGGGGCGGATCAACACAACAGTGAGCAGCCGTCCACTCAGGGGACACTTCGAATTGTGACGAATCGCTCACCGACGTTTGATATGGAGATACTCTACTCCATTGCATTGCTTACATGCAGTATGCAAGATGTCGCAGGATATTTATGTCTACAAGCAGTGTTCAGTGGGCCCCGCTTCAGCGCTTCACCGTTAATCGCGCCGAAATAATTGCCGCATAACTGATAATAACTGGTCGGCGAATGTGGTTTCGCCACTGCGTTTCCCTCTGGTTCTCCCTGTTAGTTTCCATCAATGTGTCACTTCATCCATAGAAACAAATGAACATAAAATACGCTCCACTGCAGGTAGAAGCACTTGCTCTGATGGACATCAATGAGTGAGGGATAATGGACCGAAGTTTTTCGAAACAAAGTGCCCGGTCCACTCGGTCGGTAGAGTAAACTAATGAACCGATGAACTGACCGGTCATAAACATTGATATATCTTTATTATTCTTGTGCAAGTTAACTTAATGGCTGACGACTATACAATTTCTGTTTGATATGCCGCCCGCTCACTGAAGACAAATTCGAATTGCAAATCTGCCTGAGGGTTTAGACGCCTCTCAGGTCTCCTATAACTGACTAAATTTGCGCCGTATGTCGTAGCTATCCACGCCATTACTGAGATGTTATGTGGTGGCGCAATCCACTTTTCTAAAATTAAGCTGAAACAGCACAGCAAATGTGCCACAGTGTAAAGATAATCAGTGTGGATGCGGTTTGAAGGAACTGTGTCAGGACCGGGTCACTCCGACCTGATATATAGATATTGCGTTGATAACATCACCAGGTTGCACAGAGGCTAGAAATCTACGATTGGTCACCCACTTTCTGCATACATTACACTATATTCCCAACATCTAACATGTAAGGCGAGCATGTTACCAGTACTCCACTAGCTCACGCTAGACCCACCTAAATTATCACGTCTGAACACGCAAACGTGGAGCCAACAAATCTCACAATCGCCCGCAACAACTAGAGCTTTACTGGACATAGGTTATTCAGCCATATATTTCCGTTGTCGTGTGATGCTTTCCGGACTCATTATATCAAGAGTAAAAAGTAATAGTATGTTAAATTGAAAACTGGATGTCCATGGCCACTTCTTCACCGAACGCTCTTTTACCACTGAACGAAGTAGTATTGACCTTAACCTTCATAGTCTCAATTAGCGTAAGTAGACGACGAGGATTTTTGACCCAAGTTCAAAATGGCCCACACCTCCTATGGGTGTTTACTTTGACGGATCTCCCAATAAGAGTCAACAACTACCGAGGAGTGACGACAGCTGAAGTGTACTCGTGCATAGGGTTCTTCCTACGCTACTTTTGCATGAAAAATCATGAAGTCACACAAACTGACACAATTGGCAAAATGTCGCTTTGAAATGGAAGACCGCGGGTTAATATTCATCGACTGCGCACTTTCGTATCATTCTGTTCACCTGATTTCTCACTTCAATTCCCACCCAATGTTCCATCCGGCACTCCTGTAAAGTTCGACAGAACCAGGATGAAATATTCTATACGGATTAGCCTGCCGGCCACAGTTTGCGTGGATCCCGAATTGTCGCTCCGCGGCTGTTTAAATATATCCTGTAGAAAACTTAGTTTATAAGATGGGTAAGAAAACGTGCAGAGTTCTGTTACAAGCTGTAAACCGGCTTCAGCATGGTGACGATTTGATCAGTTCCAGCGGTGCTCATTAAGTAGTGGTTTGGGTAATAATAATATAATATAAATGATAGATATATTATATATATAATATATTTCCGAGCGAAGTAACATTAAAATTTCCAAATTCATCTGAGTCTGTGGAATATTTCATGGCAAAAACAAAAAATAAACCATTTATTATATGAATAAACCGACTCGCTCTGTCGAAATGAAAGTGTTATACCTGTGCAGTCCAGTTGCCCGAGATCGGCCAGCTAGAACGGCGATTCCCTATACTTCATTTGCACTTTCATTGATTCTCCGTTCAAGCGATGAAAGTCGCTCTCTTGAGTTTCATCTTTATCAATCTGATGATCCCACGAGCGTACGGATTTGTTCAGACCCCAGCCGAGCAGTGCAAGCACTCACCTCGAAAATACAACGAGTTGATTAGTACGAGTTTCGAACTCTCCTGGATAATATTGGGCGGCAACAATTCTTTAATTTTGTCCTTCGTGTTTTTGGCAACCCAGGCGTTAATGTGACATATTCTCGCCTCTGCATTTGGCAGTTCAGTAAGCTTTTATGGTGTAAGATTGTAAGAAATTTTTTGGGGGAAATGAGTACCGTCTCAACTCAGGCGTTGTAACACTTGGCGACCTTTGAGCTGTACTCCGACCGAATATCGATCGGTTTTAGAAGGAACAACTGATTAGCAAGGTTCAGGTCCATGTCACTCGACGCTTAGAAATACTTGGAAATTATTGGTCCATAAGATTGATGAACTGCGTCTGACTTGTGCTTCGGAGGAATTCGCAGCACCTGCTGCATCTCCGGCAGTGTTTTCCCGTTGGCTCCAGCCATCACCAACAACGAGACACAATAAATACTCATGGGCGAAAATACTGAGTTCGCCAAATTCGCTAGACCATGTGTGAGTAAGTTCGGCTTTCGTAAACGAATCTCCTTAGCGGCTTGTAATTTGATAATTTTGTCATAAACATCCTTGGCAAATTCTGTGAGGCTTTCCTTAAAGTGGAGAACGTCTTCCATCTCTCTAGCCATCGTAGTGCGCTTAGACTGGAAATTTGTTTTGAAAATATATTTATGTCTGGTTAGGTATTCCCTGCCTACGCGTTGTATTCGGTCGGCGGGTTTACGGAATCACGTGGTTTTGTGGAGATGAGCAAACGGTATGTTTTCTACATAGTATGTGAGCAGAGTCAATTTGTCCGTTCGCCAATTCTAACCCCTTGCTCAGAGGAGCTACTTCCACATCCAGAGAAGGTGTGTGTTTGTTGTATCAGGCGCCGCAAAGGGAAAGGCATCACCGTATGATTCAGTTCTGAAGAAGAGTATCAAACACACTAACAATTCTATGACTAGTGATACAAACCATGAGCACATGTTGTGTTTGGGTGATTGTGTTTCACGGTTGCGTTTGTGCACTTGCTTTTCGTAGGGGGTCGACGGGAGGACATGATCGTCCTTGCAAAACATATTCTTTCCAGAAGGCCCTGGTAAACGATCAGTGTATTTCGCAAATGGGAATGTTGAAACGATGAAACGCGGAAAGGATGACTGTTCAAGAGGTTTCGAACTTTTTCCATCTGATTGCAAACACACTCTGTTAGACGTCCAACTAACTTCTTACAGTGTACACCGACAGAAGACCATTCAGGCAGTTCTCAGCTGGGTTAGAGTGAACAGGGCCCGGTGGTACACAGATTATTCAATGGTAAGTAATATTATCCGATGTAAATAACAGGTGGGGCTTAATTGCCGCATATTTGGTGACCATGCCCTTTCATTCAACTGACTACCCCATAAATGTTCGGTGATATGCAGTGATCAATCTCGCTTCATCAGAATTAGAAAGATACTTTGTTACATCCGTACTCCACCACGTGCTCTCTGAATAATGGACACTGATCAGTTGATTTAGGCAACAGTCCTACCACAGGGTCATCAGATAAACATGAATCACTCGCATACGGGCCTGTTCATCTGTTCGAAAATGTTAGGGTATTCCATATCTCGAGAGAAACGTTTTCAGCTCGGAGACCCTACTCTCGTGCTCGAGAGGTTCAAGTTCTACTTGGCTCTGGGTTAGGCAAGAAATAATCCAGCCCCGAGTAGTGCACACCGATCAGTTGATTTGGGCAACATTCCGACCACAGAGTCATCAGATAAACATGAATCACTCGCATACGGGCCTGTTCATCTGTTCGAAAATGTTACGGTATTCCATATCCCAAGAGAAACGTTTTTAGCTCGGAGACCCTACTCTCGTGCTCGAGAGGTTCAAGTTCTACTGGGCTCTGGGTTGGGCAAGAAATAATCCAGCCCCCTAAATATCGCCTCAGGTTTAAAAGATATCGCCACTAGAAATCACTAAATCCTACACCAGGAACGATCATCAAACGATTCTCAGTGACCCAAAGGCGCGCATGCTCATTTTATTCGGCTAAATTCTACTGCTGTTAAAATACAACGCGTTGATTAGCAAGAATTTCTGTGCTTGTCGTAGTGGATTGACGGGTGAACATGATCGTCCCTTCAAAACACACTCTTTTCAGAAGGCTATGGCAAACAATCGGCCTATTTGGTAAATAGGAATGTTGAAACGATGTAACGCGGAAAGGATGAATTCTCAAGCTCTGTTTGCATTGAATATCTGCAGATTTGCAATTACAGGACTGTATCTTGATGGGAATATTGGCGTTTCATTTCCCACTCATGCTATTATGCTGATGACTTGCTTGTACGCTCCGATAGATGTAGAGGAATGTTGTTGAATCTAAGTTGACCATCAATTTGCGTATGCACTGCCTATGCACTTTTGATCTCCAGTTGCTTTGCTTATCTGTTCCCACCACTCGCCTTGCCGCAGAGGCCATCCCGTCCGACACTTGTGTATTGGCATGTCTGTCTGTGTGTGAATGTGCACAGCTGACCTAATTACTCATGCGCGTTCGTGACCCGTTTGCTGTCTGCTTTGACTTGTTTTCTCCTGGGTTTCGTTCATGACATTTGCGTGTAAATACTGGACGTTTCAAAGAGCGAAATGAGCAACATGGAGAAAATCGTCACCATTGACAACAGGCTGATAGTGACACTGAATGGTTTGACCACAATTGCGGCTAAAAGGTTCTCAAAATTAATACATGTTCAAGAATAAACCGTATATTATGTGACTAGACTTACTCGCTCCGTCAAAATGGAAATTCTGTAGTCATGTATATTTTAGTTGCGCAAGATCGGTGAGATGGAAGTGCAATTTTCTATACATCATTTGCAATTTCATTGATTCTCCTTTCAAGCAATGGAAGTCACTCACTTGAGTTTTTCCTTATCCAACTGGTGATTCCATGAGCCTATGGATTTGTTCAGAACACATTTAAACAGTGCATCCACTTACTTCAAAAATACAACGCGTTGATTAGCAAGAATTTCTGTGCTTGTCGTAGTGGATTGACGGGTGAACATGATCGTCCCTTCAAAACACACTCTTTTCAGAAGGCTATGGCAAACAATCGGCCTATTTGGTAAATAGGAATGTTGAAACGATGTAACGCGGAAAGGATGAATTCTCAAGCTCTGTTTGCATTGAATATCTGCAGATTTACAGGACTGTATCTCGATGGGAATATTGGCGTTTCATTTCCCACTCATGCTATTATGCTGATGACTTCCTTGTACGCTCCGATAGATGTAGAGGAATGTTGTTGAATCTAAGGTGACCAGCAATTTGCGTATGCACTGCCTATGCACTTTTGATCTCCAGTTGCTTTGCTTATCTGTTCCCAC